ACTTTCATAGCCAAACCCCTTAACCTTACTCATATATTTTCCTGCTTGGACAAATATTTCTTAGATTTCTATGGAGTTTTTTTTTTTTTTACAAATCTTTAGAGTCAGATGCTTAATCCTAAATCATTAATCCTATTCAGAATCTCATGTACTTTTTTGTGGGTTTATGCAGAACTTTTATGGGCATAAATGGTTCAGTCTAGTTGGATGGAGGAATCAGAAAAAAATGTCAATTCAAACATGTAACATTCATGAGTGTTGGACCTTCCTTACATACTGGATTAGGAATACAAACTTTCATTTATTTTATGAGACGCTTCATTAGTTTATCTTATAACACATATGCAAGTGCAGGTATTTATTTTTATTTATTTAGAGCATTTGTATCCCATCCTTCTTAACCCCCCAGGGTGGCTTACCATTGGCAGTCATTAGATGCCGACAAAGAAACAGTTAAAGTACAACAATTAACATAAACAGGTCAAAAGCAAAAAAAACCCCAAAAAAACATTAAAATGCAATAAAAATACGGCACATTAAAAATATTGGCCCTTAAAATATTAACACAACCAAGTCTGAGTCCGCAAATCCAAATCATAGTCCAGAGTTCCAGTCCAAGGTTTCTTAATTGACAATTCTCATGAGTCCTTATAGTTGTTGCTCAGCCAGCTGTCTGAATGCTTGGTCCCAAAGTTATGACTTCAGTTTCTTCTTGAAGGAGAGGAGAGAAGGAGTCACCCTGATTTCACTGGGGAGTGAATTCCACAGACGGATATGTGATACAGGTGCAATTTCAAGTGATTGTTCTATTTTTCTGACTATCATAAGTATTGATGCCCCTAACAATGAGATGGGGGTAGGGGGTGGGAGCAGTCATGAAGTTTAATATGGCTGATGGGTTGAGGCATCAGATTCAGTTGGACTTTCCAAACAGACATTGTAATATCCTGTCCAGATTGCCTTTAACCATTTTGTATAGCAAGTTAACTCCATTAGCAGGAAAAGCGAGTTGCCTGATAACCTTAGGATCTGCCTATCTGACCATGGGCTTTGATGGTTAAGCCAATTATGTCCATTGTGCACATCATCAAATGGACCAAAAATTAATGGGGTTGTCCAAATGTCACTGTTGCTTAATCTAAAGCCTATGATTACTGTCTGGATTACTGCAACACTTTCTACATGGGGCTGCATTTGAAGATAGTTCGGAAGGTTCAACTGGTCCAGAGATCAGCAGCCAGGTTATTAACTGGAGTGCTGTACAGGGAGTGAACAACTCCCATGTTATGACAGCTCCACTGGCTGCCAGTCTGTTTCCAGGCTAAATACAAAGTGCTGGCCATTACCTATAAAGCCCTAAACGGTTTGGGCCCAGAATATTTGACGTCCCACATCCCAATGTCCAGGGTACGAGAAAGAACTCTTGTCTGTTTGAGGAATTCACACTTGCCTCAAACAGACAAGAGTTCTTTCTCCCACCCTGGACATTCCTCAGATATATAAACCCCACTTGCCTTGTTTCCAACAAACCTCACAACCTCTGAGGATGCCTGCTATAGATGTAGGTGAAACGTCAGGAGAGAATGCTTCTGGAACATGGCCATACAGCCCAGAAAACTCATAGCAACCCAAAATGGAAGTCATTAAGTACTGTTAACATAATAATATAACATGCCCAGTTGTGCAATTTGCAGTATGTGTTGTCTCCATGCTATATCCAGGGTCAACACAAAAAGTTAATTAGAACTTTGAAACTGTTTAATTTGATTTTTATTTTATTCATTCACTTTGTTACTACTTAGTTTTCATCAAAAATGTGTTTTTAGAGAAAGAAAAGTTCTCTATGGAAAAATGTAGCAGTGGAAAATTTCCCACTCCACATTATGGCACAGTGACACAAAGCTTTGCTTGTCTTTCAGTTGGAGTGGAGAGCCAAAGCAATCTTTTCCAACTTCTTTATAATCTTTTATTTTAACTTCTGAAGAATAGCAAGACACTCACACATCACTGCCACCACAATACAGAAAGAAGGAATTACCTGAACCAAGCTGAAAATGTTTTTACATGTGGAACAAAATTGCCTGAGGTCCCACAGTTTTCTACACAAGTGCCTCTCTATTGCGTGACAGAGAATAGCATCATAATTTATTGGTAATGAGGCAAACCCAGACTGTCCTTGTAATAATTGATCTACCTCAAGAGGTGCATGGGTGAGTTCTGGATCATAGGGCTGTTGTGGGTTATGTCAACCCATGTGGACTGCACCATATTGAAGCTGCCCTTCTGGGTGATTTGAAGTGATATTCTATCACTCGTTTGTGCTCTCAGGAGCATTTCTGGGACTTGGGAATGGGACTATTTCAGTATACCCTCTGAAATTAATTTTTACTGAAAATGAATTGGATATATTTTTTGGATAAAACAATTGTGAGACACATCAAAAATTTGATGGGATTTGGTGGACAGTGGACCCGATATTTGAATGGGATCACGAAATGCCCACATAGAACCATGGAGTTCATAGAATATTGAGTCTAGACCCCTTTTTAGTTCAGGATCTTCAGCTAAACATCCCTAGCAGGTAACTGTCCAGCCTCTTTTAAAAAAACTTCTAGAGAAAGGGATTTTGTCACTTTCCTAGGTAATTGGTTCTATTTGCTAACTTCTTCTTCCTATCAAGCACTTCCTTTTGATGTTCTATCAAAAGTTAACTTCCTGAAACTTAAAATTGATAGTCCAGGGTCTTCTACTGTATTGCCCATCCCTGGGATTATAAGACCATCCCTTCAGTTCCTAGTGCTGTTTAGCTGATCAGGACACATCCAAGAAGAAGCAAAAAGAAGGTGCTGCAGCCTCATAGAATCATAGTATTGGAAGAGATTACAAAGACATTCAGCCCAATCTTCTGCTATGAAGGCAGATTGCAATCCAGCCTTTGGAGGTGGATGAGCAGTCCATGAAGGGATTTGAAAGTTTACTGGAGATCTGAATTTTGGATGTCTGGCTTTACCTTCTCCCTTGGGATGATAGTGCTCTGAGGGGAAGATTTTTTCTAGATAGTGTTGCAAATCAGGACATGTGATTCTGTAGCAAACAAAATGGAGTGTTTGACAGAGATGGCTGCATATAGCCATTACTCATTAAATGCTTTTCAGAGGAAGTCTTAACTCCCATTTGCCACCTTTGAATGTTGACTTTGCAGACAGAAGAAGATGAAATGTGCCACCACTGCTTAGCTTTCTTTTTTTCCTGCTAGAATGGACACTCAAGTTAAACTAACACAAAAATGTTTTAGTAATGGTAAAACATTTATAATATAGGCTATTGCTTAATTTGTTGGTGGGTTTTGTAGAAAGCTCTGAAATAATTAAATATGATTAAACCACTTCTATTTAAAAATAACCTGGCAATTTTTCCAAAAAGGAAATTTAACAAGCAGGGAATGTTTTGCCAGGATCTGCCATCTGAGAGACTGAGTAATGAGCAATTCATCCATCGTTATATTTAGTTGCTTTTCCATTTCATCTTTTGCCCCTTTTTAGTGTATGATTTAATTCACAGCACATAAACATTTATACATGGACCTCATAAAAATGAAAATATACAGTGTTGTGAAAATGGGCAGTGAGAGTGTTTTCTAGACAACGAAGGGCAGCTGGGAAGTTGATGATGTCCTTATTCTCATGCTCTGGTTGCTGACGTCTTTTCCTTTTCTTGCTCTCACTCCCTGTCTCTTGGTAGACTGGCTGTTTTTGCCTAAAGGGTGCCCAGTGACATATATCTTATATGTAAAGGCCAGAGTCTGTGTTACATATTTATTTATCTGTTGAAAATAATTTACTAGTTTGTAACCTATTCTATAATTAGGAAACTGTGGGTGAGATTATGTGAATAAAATAATTCAATATGAAACAACAATAAAAAAAATCCAACATAAAGTCAGCAACAGTTAATCCGAACCAAACTTTGGTCAATACTGTGTTTACTCTTTGGCAGAGAAGGCTAAAGACCTTGTAAAACTCAGTATCATGGGTGATCACTCTTGGTTGAGTATTATTGTCTTTTAGAGGTAGAGTCTTGGTGGTGGACCATAAATGGCTGTGAAGATCTATTCTAGATTCACGTGGTCTTTCACATTGGGGGCATAAATTTCCAGATTCAATACAGTCACGATAAGGGTTTGCTTGATGTACCTTCCTCTTCTTGTAAAGCTGCAACTTCTATTACTCCATAGCATTGAGCCATTGCAGTGAAAGCAGTGTCAAATTGCATTAATTTTACAGTGAAGATGAACCCTAGTCTGGGTATGAGGTCTGTCGAGCACACTGATACTCCAAAACTTTCAGTCACTTCAGAAAAATTTTCAATATTGTCAAAACTCAAGCCCTTGCTATGATACTGTCCCAATGGCTACTTCACCCACAAGCCATGTTTTCAGCTCTTTCTTAAATGAACTTACCAAGAGAAAGGAGGTTGAGTTGATTGACCCATGCTAAATCAACGGCTGCTCTGAAATTCTTGACCTACAGCCACTGGTCAGTGACTGATTCTTTAGCATATGACTGAAGGTCTGGCAACTTAATTGGTAGCATTTTCTATTGAGCTTTTAAGGTGAGGTTCCAGCTAATGAGTGATTCAGCCAGGAAAGTGCTCCTGCTGTTTCTCATCTGTCTAAATGAATTTATTGATCCTCTTTTGCTCAAGGGACCTGCTCTGTCTGGGATATGTTGAAATGGTCTTTCAAGGATGCCATCTGCACTTCTGTGCCTTAAGCATTGCATAATGTTAATTCATTAAGAGGTGACAGTGTGGATATTTTCAAGTGCAAACCATGCAAAATAGTTGTTCTGCCTACTGTCACACTTCTTCTTTACTGGATGTAAAATATATCAAGATGTTCAGAGATTTTATGTAAAAGATTCTGTATAAAAAAAATGTGTTAACAAACGGAACCAAGGAGTCATTTTGTTTCTAATGCTGCTGTGTCATCAATCTCACAGGGTGACTGGACCAGGGCTGTTGTGAGGATGAAACGGAGATGTATGTTCCCTTAAGCTTACTAGCAGAAAGGTAGGAAATGAATATAACAAATAAATAATTTGCATTATGTTTTTCATTTTCCCTACTGAATATTGTGGTGTTTACAATGTACACATAATGAAACAAACTTACATGGTTCAGACTTTGTCTACTTCGTTCATTATTTCATTTAGTTAGAGGTATACTATACCTATACCATACCTCTTTAGTTAGTCGTATCTGGACTGTGTTTTACCCTCCTTACCCAATTAACATCCTTGGAAATAATCTATATATCCAGTCGAATTCTGTCTGCCTGGGGAAATCGCTGCTTCCATCTGTTCCTATTTTGATATAATTTATGTCCCACCACGGAGTTTAAGATCTTCTGGGGAGGCCCTGCTCTCGGCCCCACCTTTATCACAAGTGAGACTGGTGGGGACGAGGGACAGGCCTTCTCAGTGGTGGCCCCTCGCCTGTGGAATTCACTCCCCGGGGAAATCAGGTCGTCAACATCCCTCCTCTCCTTTAGAAGGAAGCTGAAGACATGGATATGGGACCAGGCATTTGGGTAATCTGGCAGATTAACAAGGTAATGATGACTAGAGTTGGAAAGGACTATGGCAATGCTAAATGGATTGACGGATTTTAGAACTCAATGAACGCGGGCTATAGAGCGGTTTTTAGTTGATATTGTATTGTATTGTACTGTATTAATTGTTTGTTTTTAATCTATTGTGTTATTGCTATTGCATTTTATTGTAACTGTTGGCATCGAATTGTGCCGGATGTAAGCCGCCCTGAGTCCCCCCTAGGGGGTGAGAAGGGCGGGGTAGAAATGACCGAAATAAATAAATAAATAAATACATAAATATGTGATACATTTTGTTTTTTATTTGATTTAGATGTTAAGTTAGAATGTGTTTTATATGTTGGATTATTATTTTTATTATAATGTGTATATTGGTTGCGGTACTCAAGCATTGAATGTTTGCCTTTTTGTGATTGGAATCCACACTGATTACATTTGGGGAGAAAGGGCAGAGTATAAATAAATACAATAATAATAATAATAATAATAATAATAATAATAATTGGTAGCCAGTCTGCTACCAAGCACAATTCAAAGTGCTGGCTTTAGCTTATAAAGTCCTAAACAGTTCCGGCCCAGATTACCTCTTGGAACATACCTCCCTCTATGAGCCAGCTAGGAGGTTAAGATCATCTGGGGATGCCCAGCTCTGAGTCCCACCTCCTTCGCAGGTGCAGTTGGTGGGGATGAGAGACAGGGCCTTTTCAGTGGTGGCCCTTAGGCTATGGAACTCCCCCCCTAATGAAATCCCTTCCCACCTGACCTTCAGGAAAAGGCTAAAGATGTGGATGTAGGATCAAGTGTGCAATTAATAACCCACTAGAGAATTATGGAATAGTGCAATGACAATTTGGAATGGCCATGATTTTGGATAACCTGGTATTAGTAAATGTTTTAAGGTTTGATATGTTTTTAATGATTGTTTTAATATATATGTTTATTTTATCATGTATGTTTGTTTACATGACATCAAATTGTAGCCTATATATGTAAGCCATCTTGAGTCCCTTATGGGATTGAGAAAGGTGGGGTATAATAGGGTAAATAAATAAACGGATAAAATTATGGCAGTTAAGGTGCTGTCAAATTGCATTAAGTATTGCAGTGTAGATGCAGCCTAACAGAATTATTAAGTAAATTAAGAATGAAAAGAATTTGAATGGTTTATAAACCTATGTTCTGTGGATTTTAATAAAACTTTTGGAAATAAATAAAAAACTGTGTTTTAATGGCATAACTGAATAATAGAATCATTGAGTTGGAAGAGACCACAAAGGTATCAAATCCAATCCCTTCTCTAAAGGAATACATAATCAAAGTACTCCCAACAGATGTCTGTCCAGTCTCAGTTTTAAAACTTCCAGAGAAGGAAACTGAATAGGCAGGAATCAGACCACCAGTGGTTGTACAACTACAGCAATACATTAGAGAAGGCTCTCTGCCATGTCCGTACAGAGTGTATTGTTCTCATTGGTAGACAAAGAGGAGTCTGTCTATCACATCTGAATCCTGAAACAGACATATAGAGGAACAAGTGGTCCCAGACATTTTGGGATTTAAAATTATTGGAATCTTGTTTTCAGACAAGAAGCATAATGGTAACCCATGTAATTCCTGCCAAACTGTTTGTCATAAGATTCCCACTGATGTTCTTACTAGTTACCCCATCACATGTTGCACTAGCTAGAGCCAGAAGCCCTCTCAAAGGGCAGCACCACATAGAGTATGTTGCTGTAGTTTAATCATGAATCTACTAACTCATGAATAACTGTGTCCAGATTATCCCTTATGAAATCATATGGTTGGTAGGGCAGTCTTAGCTGGCCACCTGCATTCCAAACCAAAGACGGCTTTGGGAGCTATAGTTCCCCAACGTTCTTTAAATTCCTTTCTTTCCTCTCTTCCTCACACCCACACTCACCCACCCACACACAAAAGCATGCGCAGAAATGTTCAATTAACTAATTAATTACCCAATTAACACCCTCCACACCTCACATAGGCAGATATTGTACAAAAAGAGAGACAGCTGGCCTTACGGATAAATCTGACATTTGCCTAGAGCATTGACCCTGAAGCAGCTGGCTTCCTGATTTTTCTGGCAATGCTGTAACTTTACTCCAATATGCAGTTGTCTTCTTTTCCCTCCATATTATATTTTGTACATCCAACTGTAATACTCTTCTTTTTTTTGTCTTTTTGCCTTTGTCTTTTTCTCTCTCGCCATATTATCTTTTGTACATCCGTCTGTGGTACTCTCCTGTCTTAAGAGGATATAAAGGCAGAGGCAGAGGATGGAAGAGTGCAAACAAGAACACACAGCTAGCGAAATACCAACTTTTCTTGCATCTCCTGGTATCACAATATAATGAATCCTAGGCAGCTTGCTCAGAAAAGATCGCTGTCACTAAGCTCTTCTGGGACAGAGTTTGTGATATGAATGAAATGTGAGCACAGCTTATTAAGATTTGCATTGGGACTGTCCTCCTCCAGCTTAAAAAGGTGCACACTAATTAATAAACATGTAAAATCCAGAAAGGTGCTGGACAAGGATGCCCGCCTTCTTAGTTGCTATTTATTTTAACATTTGTACATCCTATTGAGGGCGATAAGACATGAGGAAGCAATCAAAGGCCCAAAGATGAAGAAAGACTCAATTAAATTAAGAGCTTTTTGTAATGAAGGAATAATAGCATTGGAAGAAACTTTGGAAAGTATGGGACCATTATTAAAATTTTTGGAACAATATGCAAAAGTTGTGAATTGTAAAATTAGCAAGCAAAAGACAAAGTTGCTGACAGAGAAGTTAACAAAAGGAGATAAAGTAAAATAGTGGAGATACCTTGTTTCTCAGTAGAGAGGAAAGTAACATGTTTAGGAACAACACTGTCTAATAAAACTCTAACTTTGTTCCAAGATAATTATGAAAAGAGTTGGAACAACATAAAAAGAGATCTTCAAAGATGGAATGAGCTGAGACTTTCTTTACTTTGAAGTTGCTCAGCTATAAAAATGAATATTTCACCCTTAAATAATGTTTCTCTTCCAAATAATACCAATTTTGCTTGATAATGTTCTGCTTAAAATAGGACAAAGGGATTTCTCTAAATTATTTGGCAGAGAAAGAAGCCAAGATTTAAAGTTCTTCAAGATGATAAGCAAAGGGGTGATCTAGGGCTACTGAAATAGAAAATGTACTGTTCTAGCCTTTCCAGTAGTTTAAGTGAAGTAGCCCATTCACTAGCTTGGTTTAAGGACTGGTTAATGATAAATAATGGCAGATTGCTGAAATTATAAGGCTATGACCTAAAGTTTTTGGGGCATGGTCAGGCCCGTAGCCAGGATTTTGATTCGTGGGGAGCTGAGTTTGATTAGGGGAGGGGGGCTGAATCTGAGTGAAAGAGGGTCTACCCTAGCAAACCTTTTGTATCATTATCCCAATATCCCCATGCATATGGGATATATTGAGCATGGTGATCAGATCATGATATGAATAAACATAACAGTTTAAATAATGCACCAGTAAGGCCTTCTTGCGGACGACCATGAGAATTTCGGGGGGGGGGGGGAAGCCCCTCAAGCCCCCCCCCCACCCCGGCTACATGCCTGTTGGTAGTATGATAAATGTAAAGTCAATATTGCTTGTAATAATTATTTTGCAAGACATCCCATCCTGACAGTTTGGAATAGATATAAATCCAGATCATATCCCAAAACAACACTGTAGTTTTCTAGATACTTTTGATAGGATTGACAAGATAAACAAAAAACTGGTAGCTTATCAAGTGTTGGAAAACAATTAATATAGATTTATAGTACAAGATGAATTAATAAGTTTTGAATTTGACTTTTAATAGTATAGTTATAGACAAATGTTGAAAAGATTCGAGCTGAATAAAAACCTCTTTGGTTTTGAAATAAATGTGTTTGAGATTAAATTGTGCAAATGAGGGACACTGGATTGAGAAAGTTTTTAAACTGTTCACAGTACAGTTGGAATGTGAACATGTTAAAGAATGCGTGATCAAACAGGGCATAAAATGATGTATTGATAATACTTGCCTCTAATAAGACTATGTAAGGATTTTATCGCACTAAGCATTTCTACTCCAGATCAGCTCCGGAATATTTGATAGGTGCCGATGAGCCCATCAGCACTCAAAACAGGAAGCAAAACAGTTTTCTGATATTTCTTTATTTAAACATTCAATTATTACAATAAACTTTATTTTGTCTGATTTTTCAAGTACCTTTTAATTTCACCCACCTGTAGAGAAAATTCCTTAATAACAGCCTTACCCTGAATGGTTTTGCTTGCATATTGACTTCAATTGGAATTCAGCAAACATTTCAACCACTGCTAGCCCTTTCTGCCAATATCCGGCTTTTGGGGCAAAACAAAAAGTATAGTCAGAGTTCGGAAACAACCTGTTTATTCCTTGTTTCAGCTGAGAGACTT